TAAAACGCAATTTAATTATATCTAGCTACTATTAAATTTTTTACCTTTAATTTAGTTAATTTGAACAGTAACACGTTCAAGAACAAGAAGAATATTTATTTTATTTAATATATAAATTAAGGTTCAAGTAACATTTTCCTAATAGAACTCGTATTTCTCGAAATTAGAATTAAAATAAAGCTGTAGAATCAACTAAACGTACATTTTCAATAAAAATCGTAGTAGGCAGTAATCTATTAATGCTATAGGTATTAATAATTTAACATATAAAATTAACATTTAACATTCTCTTTTGGTGCGATCATCTTTGTGTATAACTTAGTACGTACCATAATAAATAGAGAAAAGATCCGACTAATTAAATTTAAGTGTAAAGATCCGCGAAATATTGTTTTAAAATGTTGTCTGGGCAATGATTACCCGAAATTAACTCCGTCAGTACTTATTCCAACTGAGACGATAATTAAACATTCAAATCTAAACCTTAGTTCACACAAAGGATTGTTTAGTTTAAAAAGTTTTAATCTAAAAAATAGAGTTGCCGATAAATTTTTTTAAGTGATTTGAATTAGGAACCACCTTTCTTTCAACTAAGAAAGACGGCGCCAGGCAGCCAGTTTCAAATAGAAAACTATCAACCGAAATATGGTATTCAACGGTTTAACATTAGAAGAATATTAAATAAATACAAAATAAGTATTTGTCGATGACAAATTATCTACCTATATACAATGAAAAATTTGTTGGTAAGCGCATAATTCAATAACGCCTGCACCAATCTTGCCAATTTTTTTTTTTTGTTGTGTTTATTATTGTTGTCAGGAAAAGGTTCTATAGGAGGAAAAATAAAATATAGAAAAAAACGGGATTAAGCAATCGTGAAACTAATACCCGTGCGGAACTACGTAAGATTACTTCGAACAAAATAGGTAGGTAACAACACAATTCCAAAAAACCAATATATTTCCAAAATCAATTTTAATTGGACGGGTTAGGTTTGGAGTAAGCTCCAGCGTAAAGGCATGTTCTGGTTGCGGTATCAAAGAGTGCGAACAAGAAAGGTCTGTCGGCCGTAAACTCTTGTCCAGCAAACGAAGCGACGCCACTTGCTGTGTTGCTGGCTACGCCTAGGAGACCAGATACGAGACCCTGCCGTCTCTGAGGAGCAGGCTCCACGCCCCAGCTGTCCACGCTGACAGACACACGCTGGATGAAGCTGCCAGGCAATGCTGAAGGGTCTGACACGTATCTGTAGAGAAAAGACAAGGTATTAATTACTGTTAGCTTGTGCGAAATTTAAATATGGAGGATCAGTTATCATATTATCGATCGTACCTAAGTTCTGTTCTCTCAGTTCTTCATTATCTATACTAATATTATTAAGCTGGAGAGTTTGTTTGTTTGTTTGAACGCCATAATCTCCAGAACTACTGGTTCAAATTGTACAATTTTTTTGTGTTTGTTACTCCATTTATTGAGGCAGTCTATAGGCTAAAACATTATACTTGGATCTGTAGTAGTCAAGAATATGTGGTAAAACGTGTATGCTACATTTCCTCAATTTTGAAATATGAAATGTCAAAGCTTTAGTTTCATTTTTATTTAAAGGTCACTAATGACGATAATGTGTGTGTGTGTAACCTTTAAAGAAAATCAAAATAACTGCGGCATTTTGAGATTGAGGTCAGGCTATGATGAAACACATGTTTAGACAACATGTTTATCTATAGCAAAAAAAAAATATAGAAAAGAACTAGATACTTATTGGCAGTTCTGAAAACCAATTCTACCAACCAAAACTATTTCTATTTTACCATTGCGAAGGGGTTGTGTACTTCTGGTGCCTAAAAAGACTTTTAATAACACGGTTCTATTTTTATGAGCAGACCTATTACAACCTTCATGCTGAGTAGGAACTGTAGATACAATTTTACAATCCGGTCGTGAAGGTACTTACTTGGTAGCCAAAGGATCCCTCCAAAACGATTTGACGCCAAAGTCCTCAAGCGCAGCACGTATGTCGAACTCCGAGGAGATGGAAAACCGCGGCACAGCCACGTCTAATGGGACCAAGCTCATCTGCAGCAACGAGAATATCTCCAGGATTGAGCCCATGAACATTGAGATAGCATTCTTCAGGATATTGTTGCCAGTGCCGACAGCAATCAACATCGTGTACCGGCCGTCTACACCAACCGGTAGCTCCACCACTTTAGCACCCAAGAACGGGGCCTGAGCCAACCGGACTCTCTTCCGAATGTGCATCATGTCCACCTCACCAATAACCAGGCCTTGTTCGTTGTAGAATGGCTGTCTCTTTATATCGGCCTCAGAGAAAGCAGTCGTCCAAAGCCCTTGGTACTCCAATGCATCAAGAATCACGGAGTTACCTCTCAGAGGGATGTTGGCTTGCGTGCCAATAAACTTCCGCACTCGTTGTAAAGTCTGTCTCGGGTTGTTCTTGATTGAAGCAAACCCTGCTTTGAGGAGGCCGAGAGCTTTCACCGTCTTGCCCCAAGGAGGGTTCACCTTGAGGTCTTCATCCAGTAACAAGATCCGCCGCCGGTTGAATAGCACATCTCTTCCAGACTGTTCAGCGTTTACGGCGATTTCGTAGAACTTCTTGCGAATGCAGTTTTCCTCGGGTAGATAGAGGGAAGCAAAGATTTGGCTTTGGACTGAAGGATCAGCCCCTTCAGCTAGAGCTGATAGAGAAAGCCATACCGTATATGGAGAGAATACGAAGTGACCGTCAGTTCGGGCGGCCACACTGGTGTATAGTTTGTGGTGGAAGGAGGTAACGGCCTTACTGTAATCTTTGTATACATTACGGTTGCACACATTTCTGTTGCCAATATTGCCTCCAAGGATACCCCCTAGGATTCCGCGGGCTCCGTCCACTAACTTCCCAGGTGCTCCGATGATATCGTCGAGTGTGCCCAGACTGTGGACACCACGGGCAATACAAACGGCCAGCAACACAAGTGACAGCCGCATTTCAACTTCCTTCTTTCTCTAATGAACATTTCTTTCGAAGAAAGTCGTATATATAGGTTGAGGTCAGAGGTGGTAACAGGAGTGATTAGTTGATATGCCATCTAGGCGTTTGTGGTCGCAGTTAATGGAACAAATAATCACTTTCTAGTTAAAAATGATAGTTCATTGTCTTTCTTATTATCTTTAAAGTAATGAACAGATACGCAATTAGGTCAATCAATTAATAGGTACACAAAGCGAATATTACAGTTTTAATCAAACTGTTAGGTATGGAGTGAGTGTGCGTTTAAAATTTATTACAATTACGAAATTATTTCGTTGGCAACTCTTCGCTCGCTCGTTATACAAATTTTATATTTGCTTATGTAAATATAACAGTATTACAGGATGGAATGACTGGCATTGCTTTGACAGATATATTGAGGACTTCGAACTTTTTGACCAAAGCAAAAAAATGGCAAATTGATGTTGGGTTTTTTTTGTGAGGGGAAAATCATCAAATGACTTCTCCCGCCCAGGGCCGGGCGAGACACTGACTCGAGACACAGCTCACATTTTTCCACCGTCATCGCTGGGTACAAAATAGTTCTTTTTTATTAAGCGAATTTAAAACTTATTAACTATGAAAGTGTTTTTATAAAGTGTTATCGGCATCAGAGACAAATAAAATGAAACAGTTTTGATTTCATAATAAAAACAAGACTTTATTTAAAAAATACATTCTAATACTTGAGCAACGTACCTACATTAAGTACATATTAGAATATCATTAATTAATTAATTAAATATAATACAATTTATGTATTTCTACATAGTGACAATTACTGTAATCACTATATCAATTCATTAGCAACTACAAAAACTGTAAGTTTATACTTAAAACATTGTTTTGTAAATGTTGTGTAACGGCTGCATATATGGCAACTAATGAGGGCTAACATTTTTAATATTATTCCAAATTCAAAATTCCTAGGTACTGACCCACATTAAATTTGCAATGCTAGCTGCTAGCTCTACTCAAACACGAATAGATCTTACGCTACATGACTGCCATCTAGTGCCTAAAAAACTAACACAGAACCCTTATTGCCTGCCATTATTTTGTAGCCACATTATATAAAATTACTTCTAAATTTTGTATCACAATGTTCAAAAACGAAACCGAGTACATTTATTTTTTCTTCGGACAACTATTATACGAACAAAAACATACTTAGGAATCAAAGTTTCTCAATCTTTGATTGAGTAAATTACTAAACTAAATTAAAATAAATGCAGTAATATATTACTAATAGTGTTTCAAACACTACAAGGTAAGAACAATCGTTTATTATATTATATATTGAACATAAACTATATAATAAAATTTAATTACATTTTTAATATTTATTTAGATACCACTGACAAATGGTGAAGGAAAAACATCGTGAGGAAACCTGGACTATAATATTTTGTAGTTATAAGTTTGAAATCACCAATCTGCAAGTAAGTGTCCACTGCTGAGCAAGCGTGGTGATTAACGCTTAAACTTTCTCCGTGTGAGAAGAGGCCTTTGCTCAGCAGTGGACACTTATTGGCTGATGATGTGATGTGATGTGATGATGTGATATATTTTAATATTAAGGATATTGAATATCAACACATATTTCCAGGTTTACACCCGTCGCATTATTAAGTACAGCAGTTGACTTATAAATAAATTACGTCGACAATTTCGCGTTAATAATCTCTTGAATAACTTCCTAGAGTTCTTTCGGCAAGAATAGATCAGCTCGACCGGAGTCATACCACTACCTCACAGAAAACCGGCGTGAAAACAACTACAGCGTTGTGTTTCTCCGTGCGATTGAGGTTAAAGAAAGTCCAATCTTTCCCTTCCCTAAACCACTAAAATCATAATCCCAAAAGGTCGGCTAGACACTCGTAACTCCTTTGGTGTGGCGGATGGCTATGGGCGACGCCGATTGCTTACCATCAAATAATAATTCAGATCGTTTCCCACCGAATCACATAAAAAAGATGAGCTATTAATGAAAACTTTAATCGAAAAATACTACTTTAGAGTTTAATCCTGGTCGAGAAACTCACTTCAACCGCATAATATACTCTATCTATCTACTTTTAATACTTTAAAAGAACTTTAAAATTATTACTGAGATTATCTACAATATTAAATGTTAATACGATCCTAAAAACGTCTCCATGATTTCTAGCTGACTACCAAAACTTACGGTTGCTAAGACAGTATTCAGCGTAAATTTAAAACTATAAAAAATCCAACCTCTTTGCTCCACAAAGTCTTAAAATAGAAAAAAAAATATCTCAAGATGTCTGACCCCTTGAGTAAAAGCTCAAACCTCTTTGGAACTAGTCTCTTATTGACGTAGCCTCGTTACTTTGCGATGATAGCGTCTAACTATTATCAACCTTACTGCTTAGAGCATAAGTATCAAATAGGAACGGTTTAGTATTAGCTTCGTTTAGATTAAGGTTTAGAGGAATTTAGGTTTTATATTTGTATGTATAAGTACTAATCTTGTTTTTTTAGTCAAAAACTTGTTGGGGCGACTCATAGATCTCTCTCTGTTAATTTATTGAATATAAAGGCGTGTTTTGCTTATTCTATTATAAAGTACATAGGTACACATAACTAAATAAAAAGTGTTTAATTTGATAACTAGAAATCTGCCCAACGTATTGTTAATCCTAATTGCATTATTCATATTTTGGCAATTCGATACAAACAAAACTTAATACATTTTTGGACGGCGACCTTACACAAATAAAGTACATATCACACATTTACGACTTGGTAAAAGCAACCTTAAATACTTTGCACATAAAGTTCTAAATCCAATATTATAGAGACTCACTTAATTATCGTCCTTCGAATTTGAACTTCTTTTCTTTGGGTATAAAGTTGATTTTTGTGTGGACGATTGCCTCATCAATGTTTAGCGACATTAGAGCGGGTACAGGGTGTACAAAATTACATCTGAAATGAGAAAAATATTTTTATATTGCGCTTTCTATTATGAAAGGGCAGACAGAGATGCAGTTCTTTTATCTGATACATTGCAATAGAAGGCTTATTTTAAGGCCATAAGGAGAGTTTTTACAATTAACAATTAAACTCTATTTACATATTTCGGTTTTTGATTTAAGGCTACCTCAACAAATTATGTAGCGTCATTTATGATCTTTTAATTTTAATTTATGTTAATTTTTAACTTGCTTAACAGCACATACAAACTTATATAAAATAGTCAAAATATCAACTTTATTTTTATGATAATAAAGTTGTCAATTTCATATGTAACAGTTTCTAGACTTACTGGTTAACGGAAATTAATAGTTTTTGAACTTTATCTCAATAAGGATAGGATTGCAAATCTTTTAACAGTATACCGTTTTGACTTACAACCATACATTGTTATGGTACTCACCAAGCCCCGGCACAGTGACTTCAATTTTATCGTTGTATGTCACGTTTCGAATAAACTCGCCCGAGAACACGTCCTGTAAGCAAATTGAGTTTTAAGTAGTAGACAATATAGTCTAATTTACAATAACTTGTTTGGCAGGGATCATTTGTAATTTGTATAGGTACTAGATCAGTTAGGTAGAATACCTGATGGCAGCGGGTGGGTTCCGATTGCTTACCATTATAAGCCAGCTGCAAGTTTGCCGCTCTTTGACATAATAAAAAATAAAGGACTAGTATCTATTGACACATTTTAGTAACTTTATACAATAATTTTTAGCAAAAAGAAACAGACTTCAAAAAGTAAACTAAAAAGCAAAAAATAAATTTTCTCTGTACAAAGTAATACAAGCTTTCATTTAGGTAAATAGAAAATAATATTAATAACTATTTTTACAATCTTGAAGTCGGTGCCAAGTAAATGCTACATACCAAACAACAACAGTATTAGAAACATGTATTGATCGGTCCCTACGAATCATCATTGTTTTACTTGGCACCTGGCACTTATTTGCCACCGTAAGTACGGGCCTGCGGTCGGCGAGTAAGGGCAGCTCGCCGCCCGACCAGAACCAGGCCCGAGCGTACGGCGCGTAGCGTTCCGCGCGCGCCTCAAAGAGCCATTAGACCACCACAGACGGGGCCCTAAAGGGCTGATGTTCAGCCGGGGTTGCGGGGTAAGCGCAATGAGGCACCGCGACCTCGGCACAGAGCAGGAGAAGGAACAGGGGGGTTTTTAGTCAGTAAGAGTCTGACACTCCCTCCTGCCCGGCCCTGGGCGGGAGAAGTCATATGATGATTTTCCCCTCACAAAAAAAAAAAAAAAAAAACCTGGCACTTATTTGACACCGACTTCAAGATTATAAAAATAGTTATTATTAATATTATTTACGATAAGTTAGCTCTAAAAGAAACTATTATTTTTATTTTCGAGCTAACTTTTATTTCTTGTCTTAGCAACCATAATATCAGCTATCTAAAAAAAACATATTCTAGAAAATTCTAGAAGGACTAATATAAATGCTAATGCATTATCTGTGGTTTCGTAATAAAGTTATCTTCGACGCGTACCACATTATCGGCAGCTCAGGGCTCAAGAGAATTACACAACGAATTGCCTCGCTGGATCAAAGATAGGTTATTGTGGATTAAAATAATTGACTTTTCCAAACGTAAGGGAATATATTTTACAAATTAATACAGTAATCTGTGATTTTATGAAGTAGTACTAGCATTTTGCTTCAAATTCTGAGGCAAATCTAAATTACACACGGTCAAAAAAAGGATTTTTGAAACATGAGCATGTTTAGTACAACTTCAATAATAATTATGTGAAAGGGTTACAACAGACATATAATAATAGGTCTTTACCTATGAAATTGCCGTTTTGCATGAAAAAATGTAAACAATATTTTTGATTTGAAATGCGATGAAAATGTAACACTAATCAATAAACAAATGACTACTTTTGGAAAAAGAATCCCATGTTTTTAAACCAAAATTAATTAGCCTTAGCCTAACAAAAACTATTTTGATTTGAAATGGCCAGTACTGCAGAACGGCAATTTCATAGGTAAAGACCTATTATGTTATACAGATTCTTAGATTGTATTATATGTATGTGTATACACATATGTTCATTACAAGTCGACCAAAAAGAAACCATGTTAAAAATCATACTTATGTTAAAGTAGGCCCCGTCTGTGATGGTCTAAGAAACTAAGCTGAACCCTTAAAAATACAGATTCAATACGTGCCCAATCTTAATTAAAGTCTAAAACTTAAAAAAATCTTGACTAAACAATGTAATGCGCATAAATTGATAAGATCTAACTTCAGTTCAATCGTTTACGTATCCAATGTTAATTTAAAAAAAATAGCAACATTATAAACTTAAAAAGGAAATCACCGCAAAGTTTTAACAGTGTAATGCCTGATATACCTGATAATATGCGTCTAGTGGTCTGTAGTTGGAGAGTAGGTACCTACGGGCGCATTCATTAGTTTAATGAACCATACTGAGCTGCCGATGCACCTTTCCCTGCGCGTAATAGATAAGCACCCAACATAGCTATGTAATACCCTACGTGTGTATGTTCGTAATATGCTGTTACGTTGGTGCATTGTTTAATTAAAGTCTGGTAGGTTTTGAGTAGTGGTTAAGGGGCCTGCTTCTCATGCATGAGGGTTCGAAATTTGTCAAGCACTAATGTGACTTTTTCCAAGTTTTAACTTTCTATGATTGTTAGGACACCACTGACATACTATGAAGGAAAACATCGCGAGGAAACCTGGACTTATAAGCGTGGTGGTTAATGCTCAAACCTCCCCCTTGTCAGAGGTGATTTACTCTGCAGTGGGCACTTATAGGCTGATGATGTGATGTGTGGTTAAGAGTGTTAAGAATCGAAATCTCACGTAAGTGGCGCTAGTGTCGATTTACATCCAAAACGATTAATAATGCTTTTTGTGTTCCGTTTTATGATAGTTTAATAAAGCGATAGATGTTTAGGGGCGGATTATTTTATAGTTTATAGGCAAATTGCTACGACTGGTATATGTCATTTTTTTGTTAAAAACGAGACGTTTTGACCGTTTTGTGTATGTATCATTAGCCAAGAGAAATAAACTACAAAATAAGGAAGGAGCATTTGTGAAACCGCTTGAGATTCCAGTGAAATTCTCCTAAAGTTTTAAGGTCCTAGTGCAGATTTTTGAACATACCAGGAACATAAAATCATTTCAGAATTGTTGTATCAAGAAAATAAAATCCTTACCAATATTGTATACCCATCCGTAGCATTGAGGTTGTAAGTGCTCAATCTAAATGACACGTCGCTGGAGTCTGCATCCAAGTTCATGATAGCGAGACTGTACGACGGGAACTGATCCCCTTTCCTAGGCAGGTGGGGTTTTATCCAGAGCGTGCAGCCTGTCACCTAGGGGACAAAATTAAGAATGACAAAAGAATAATACTTACATTTAAAAGAAGAAATAACCTTTAAAATCTCTCTCTCTCTCACTTACTATCTATCTCTCTCTCTGTCTGTCTCTCTCTCATTTTGTCTATCTCACTTTCTCTGCATCACATTCGCTATCTCACTTTCCCGATCTCACTCACTTCTCATCTAGCTCCCCCCCCCCCTCTCTCTCTCTCTCTCTCTGTCTCTGGCAAGCTGTAATAAATTATATTATTTTTTAAATCGGTTCTGTACCGTAAGAACAGTAAATATCAACAGTTTTTCTCTAAATATCATATCATTTATACAAAAAGACGTAATAAGTTTTGTGATGAAACATTACCCCCCATTGAATAAAACTCATAATATATACCTAATATCTAAGAACGTAATCGTAGATACAACAATTGAAGGTATTTCCCGCAATCCGCCGCGTACTTAGATAAATAGTTTCGTTTCGTATCAGCTGCATTCGCTGTAAATACAATTTATTTGTTGTCCGCGCTCACCGGCTGCGATTTATTATCAACTTGATATTATCTGCTGGGATAGCATTATATTACAACATATAACAAGCTGCTTCTCTAGTACAATTTTCTAAAGGGAAGAATTAGGTAATGATGAAATTTCTTCATAGTTTCTCTACAATCTTTCTCTACATGAGTGAATGGTGATTACCGCTGAAGCGCATTGAGGCCCGAGCCAATAGGCGAGGATATTAAAGAGCAGAGAAAAAAAAGGATACATATTCCTAACTAATATGTCAATACATAAGACCGGGGCTTAAGCGAACCTTCTATAGTTTTAAAAAGATTTTTTAAAAAGATTAATGATGGAGTGTCTGCAATTTGGAACGAGCACCAACATTCACAGACTACTATTATATTTTGACGTTTCAAACTACCTATTTATGGTTTAGTTGGAATACATTATTTTCACTTCAAAACATTGCTACTTACATATCGTATCTGTAATGTATAGAATAATTAATTTAAAACATTAAATCTTCGACGGTTTAAGCAGTTTTAGTAGAAAAAGTGGCAAGAAACAACGCTTTGTGTTTCGTAGTGTAAGTGAGGTTAACGGAGGTCTAATCTATAACTTCTCTGGTGTTGTGGGTATCGACGGATGGCGTTAACCGGTCAGGAAAATAACTCTTTATGTAATCTGCAAATGTTGTTCCGGGTCTGGGTGTGATTCTTGAAATTGTAAGTTTGTCAACGTACCCACGACACAGGAAAAAGTCCTAGAGCTGGCTGGCAACGTTTTTTTTTAAGAAAGAGAGGTGATACCGGTAATATTGCTTATGTAGTTTGAAAAAAAAGTACTAAATAGATCTCGTTCAAACTAATTATTAGTGGAAGTTTGACAAAATATATTTTGTTTTTGTTTTATCCTCTCTTATTTTAAAGTAAGACCACGCGTTTTATCTATTTGGAAAATGTTCTACGGGATCGTAAAAAAACTTACACCGTATGGTTCCGCCATGATGCCCAACGGATCCTGGGCAATGGCCATCAGATCCAAGTTCTGTAGGAGCGACTTCTCGTAAGGCGTGATCTTCTTCATGTCACAGCTTAGCAGAAGCGGGGCGGACATCATCACGAACACAGTTAATTGTATGCGACTCTGGCTATGTGTTAGCACGCCCGTGCCGAATATCAACTGGAATTTGAAAAAACTATGATTTAATAGTAAATATTATAGCACAGAACATCAACAAACGACTTCTAAGAAAGACAATGTTTAAAGAATGAAGATGAAATTGTTTAATTTTTTTTCGCTTACTAGATGGCGCTTTTTTATGAGCGGAAAATCATCAAATGACTTCTTCCGCCTAGGGTGAGCTAGAGGGAGATTCAGACTTTCACTGACTAAAAACCCCCCGTTCCTTCTCCTGCTTAGGTTGAGGCCGCGGTGACTTACTGCTCTTGCCCCGCAACCAAAAAATAAGTGTGGGAGAGCCATGCTTCGGCACGAATGGGTCGGCTCGACCGGAGTGATACCACGGCCTCACAGAAAACCGGCGTGAAATAACCACTGCGTTGTGTTTCGCCGTGTGAGTGAGGTTACCGGAAGCCCAATCCTTCCCCTTCCCCAATCCCTCCTCAATCCCTAAATCTCCAAATCCCTAATCCCTAAAAGGTCGGCAACGCACTCGTAACTCCTCCGTTGTGGGTGTCCATCAGGTAACCCGTCTGCTCGTTTGCCGACCAATTACATAAAAAAAAAAACCCTCGCTAAGCATCAGCGCTCCCCGTCTTCGCTAGATGGCGCTGGTTTAGTATTAAGACTCTTTACGTACAACATCGTTTAAATCTTATTACATAAAAATGAATCGCAAAATGTGTTAGTAAGCGCATAACTCGAGCACGCCTGAACCAATTTTGCCAATTCTTTGTTTGTTATATTTATTATTTACCGGAGAAGCTTCTTTTCAAAGAATATTTTAGAAAACTTGACGGGAAAATTGGGATAACGTCCTCCTTTCGTTGTTTGCGAGTTAGTTAGTTAGAGCTGTGCGAAGCGTGGTCGGGCCACTAATATACTTATATAAAGAATCTCTCATACATAAACTAATCTTCCCTCTCTATACCGTGGACGTTGACAGAAACTAATGATGATCATCAAAAAACAATTTTAAACCTTAACGTTATGCAACAAAATTGATAGTACCATATCAGGATCGTTCCAATGTCCAGGGCCGTGGTATGGCGCGAGTAGAGCGTATTCGCCGCGGTAATGTCTGACGATGTCCGCGATGGAGTCCCAGGACGTTTGAACGTCGTGGTAGTTGCGCCACATGTTGCAGTAACGCGCTACCTCCTCGTAGTCTGGCTGGAACCAGTGTACACATTTTTTTTTAAAAAAAAACGTTGCCCCACACTAGGATTTTCTCCTGTGTCGTGGGTGCGGTTACAAACATACAATTTTACATACACATGACACCCAGACCCGGAACAATAATTTGTGGATCACACAAAGAGTTGTTCCGTGCAGGAATCGAACCCGCGACACGTTGCACGGCAGCCTGTTGCCCGGCCACCGTACCAACCGTGCAGTCAAACTACTGCCTACATTGTAATAGTACTTTATGGTACAAGTGTGTAACGTTGATGATTAAAGCAGACATTGTGTCTTAAGGAGCCGAAACGGCAATCATCAATACACACAGGTATCATACGAGTTTTCAACACAATACTCAGATTACAAAATTGCTAACGTCCGGTCCCCGAAAAGCAACAGCAACCAAGTTGTAACTTCTATGGTGATGTGTGTCCACGATCGGCGCCAATTGCTTACCATCAGGTGGTCTGTAAGCTCGTTTGGTTCCCTACACTATAAAAAAAAGTTTGTATAACCAATATTTACCATTTGCTGATGAATATATTGTATGTAGTACGGCCAACTGCATGAGTATACCATCGGCCTTCCGGTCTTGTTCAAATACCGACCCAGTTGTATGTATGCTGTAAATAAAAATTTTACAGTTCTTTTACAGTAATAGCAACTGGCTGCCGTGACGTGTCGCGGCTTCGAAACAACTCTTTATGTGATCCAGAAGTTGTTGTTCCGGGTCTGGGTGTGATGTGTATGTGAAATTGTATGTTTATAAACGCACCCACGACACTCGAGAAAATTGTAGTGCAGGGCAACATAAAAAACATGATTGAAATTCCGGCCTACATATCGTAGTTTTAATTAAACAGAGTAATTACCTATTTCGGACACCGATAAAAGGTAATTTCACGCAATTGATACAGAAGAAAAGTCTCGATAATTCTAAAGCGTGCAGTAACACGATGTTGATAATTTTATCAGCAGTCCTAAAAATTATTTAGGCCACAAAATCAGGCATGGCAATAATTTTTTTATCGCACATCGTGAATTATTGCCACATTTCATAATGTTAATGGCAACACGAATGGCACACACATATACCTATATGAATAATATAACTTAGAAAGAAAAAAAATATATAATGTCTTCAATCTTAATTCTTTCGACTTTTCTTTGGTTTAGATGTCAATTTATTACATTTGCAGAGTTTAAATAACTAAGCATTATTCTGTGTTAATGATAATTTAATTTTAATTTCAATAATTATTAATATTACAATTTTATTGTTATTTGCATGATGTGGTCTCCTCTAATTGGATGAGAACACAACTTTTAAAATGTTTTTTTCTATATTGTTTATGTAATGTGTATTCTCTGTGGGAGATCTTAATAAAGTAATTAAATCAGCCTTGTGCATTTTGCATTTTCTTGACTTTACAGTGTGAAAAGCCAATGTTTTAATTCAGGCTGTCGCCATGAGAAGAAATTTTATTCAGATCCATTAATTAATTTGTATGTAAAAGAGTAACAAATGTTCATCTATACAACTTTCGAATTTATAATATTATTACTTAATATTCTTACTATTAAATACACATCCAATATAATCGGACATAATACTATTATTATTATATAATACTAATATTATTATTAGAAATCTTATAAACTCACCTGTGTTGAGAATTTCTTCCGATACATAGCATCCGTCTACCTTAAGGTAGTCAACTCCCCACTCTGCAAATGTCTTTGCATCCAGCTCCATGTGACTCAAGGACCCTGGATACCTCATACATGTGGTATTTGCTACATTTGTGTACATGCCAAACTTCAATCCTCTGGCATGGATCTGAAATATTTGATATAGTTATAAAATCAATTTAACATGAAATTGTATAACCTAGTTTAGGCAAGACTATAATATACATATATGTATGCTTATATGTGATACATTATGTTATACATGATTAACACCCGGTTTCTGAAAGGCTTGTCAATGCTCAAATCACACAAGTTATCTGATTGGTTGTTGATAATTCAGTCAACCAATCAGATGACTTGACAAGAGATTAAATTGATTTTAACATTGATCGGCCTTTCGAAAACCGGGTGTAAGCTATTAGAGGGCTCCACCACTTGTTTTTCTATGAGTGTCATAAGAGCCAACTAATATTACTAGCCAACTACATATTTGATAGTCTAGATAGCAGCACTTATCAATAAAACTTAAGAATTTCTCAAAGAATTTTAGTTTTGTAATTTGACTTTTTAAAATAAATAATGATTTTTTTCTTCAATATTATTATCAATTTTGACTGAAATAAACCAGGATTTTCAAAGAGTTATTTATAAGACAAGCATGTTGTTGCTTAGAAGGACATTCATGTTATAATAAAAAAATAAAAAATAACTTAAAATTAAAAACAGACTTTTTAATTTTAAGTTATTTTTTATTTTATACACACATAATCAGCAAGATATTTCATTCCATGTGGGAACCTCTTTTTGTTTGCTACAAGCCTTCCATTTCTGTCCCGTTTCTTTTCGGACCAGCAGTCATCAATGATGATGTACTCAAAGCCTGCTTCTTGGTAGCCTTCATTGTAAAAACTGTCAGCAACTGATAAAATGAGCTGTTCACTGAAATTCAAAGAAATTATTGGTAAATATGAAACTATTTGATTCAGCATTACTTTTTTAAAGTAAATGGTATAAATTTGTATCTATTTCTATTAAATATTGGAGCACTCCGCCCCTAAGACGACCCACTGACCGCATACTTTATTGATAACTAAATTATAGGATATATGAATATAATGTATTGATTAAAAAGTACTTTTTCATGTTCACTATCAGTGCACTAAGTATGTTACCTATGCGAATTTGCAAACACATAAACAAATAGAGGAATTCGCAAAGCTATGTACATTGCAAAGAAACAATAAAATTGGAAAAGGAACGCTTACTTTAAGCATTTATGCTCGCCCTCTTCGCATTTAACTCCGCACCTGTAATATCCCCATGACATCCACCCCATGGGAGGGGTGCGGGCCAGACCGTTCTCCAATAAGTCCACTTTATTAAATGAAAATATCAAAAACAATAAACAGAACGCACATCGAAATTCGTACATTTTACGGTAACTTCTATTTTTATCAGTCACCGCGTCCGCTGATATTTTTAATAGTATGTAATTTTTAATGATTTTACACAATATTTCCTGACATTTATAACTGACCACACCAACCACTCACAGACTCTACTCTGGTTTAAAGCGAATTTATTTCCTTTCCTCACATAGAACTAAAAATAGGTACTAAAATGAATAACGACGTCTGTTTTGTTTTGACTTTTGTCACATTTGTGTTTACATTTTTGACAGATCACTGTTGACTGTACCTAGCGGAATTAAGTTAATCAACCATTTAATAAAAGCACTTTCATAATGTAAATCCTATACACGGTCAAGACATTTATATTTAGTCGCATAGTAATAACTTGGGTTGCCAGTTGTTTCTTTTTAAATACAAAATTAGATTTTAAACTAATACGATTAAAATCGGAGTTTGTATTCCAAGAACCAATAATTGTTTATTACAATTCCTTATGTTAGAGCATTTCAACTAATTTTACCTTTTATGTCAGCTTAAAATATTTTGGGAACCTTTTAACCTTAATGCCTACTCACTAAATATATTTCAGGAGAGAAATAAGTATTTAATTTCGTTGTACTTACCCATATTCATTTACGATCGAACTGTACGTTTGAGTGAAGATAAGTAATCCAATTCAAAACTTTAAATGGGAATTGCAAAATTCTGAGGCCTGGTGTTAGGAAGGAAACTCCCGCGGCGATGTTTTCTGCTGTGTTGTGATTGATTAACGATCTTCCCAAACCTACCAGACGTACTTATTTTAGGTGACGAAGCCTTATTGAAGGATATAAAATTTATATTTGCTCAGATTTTTACTTTTCATATCTATACTATCTATACTAATATTATAAATTTGTAAGTTTGTATGTAGGGGGTAATCTTCGGAATCGCTGGTCGGATTTCCAAAATTCTTTCACTGATAGATAGCTACAATGTTCCTGAGTGCTATAGGCTATAAAACATCACGCTACGATCTGTAAGAGCCGAGCAGCGGGTGAAACCGCGCGAGAGTTGCTAGTTGTAAATATCTTAAAAAACAAAGATTATTATTTGCTAACTTGAGATGATTTGCGCAGAAAATCAGTACAGGGGCTAAAACAGAAGGAAAGTCCTATAGGAACTTTTACAATGTTAGTAATGTGTATAATGAAAAAATACGATTGTGTCTTTGTTTGTTGAACTAATTTTGATACAAAATTTAATCACAAAAATGTAACCGTTAGGGTGATACACCTAAATAAACACTTTGAAACATGCACATTTATTTCAATGAATCGGAATACATTTTCAAGTGCATTCAATTATTAACTATTCACTGAATCGAAGCATGTATGGTGAGCTTAATAAAACGCGAGCTAACCACAGATTATATAGCACTTTGACCTAACACAGCCTGAGCGGTAAAGTATACGCTCAACGTAGGTAAACTGAATGATCAACATATTTGTATTACCTATTAGTTTGTTCCTCTGAGACCAACAGAGGTAAAGTTGAATTAAAGTTATTCTATTATATACAATATGTCTGCCGGCTTCATCCCTAGTGGGTTAAGTAGAGAGCACTGAATTTAATTATGTTTGATATGTTAATGTGTTTTATTATACCGAGTTGTTTATAAGCCGCGTTTTTGCATTTGTGTCAACTTACGGCACGCTGTATACTTAATGGAGTGAATAAACTCATGAGACAGTTTTTATCGAACGAAATTTGTACTTAACCATTCCAATTTCAATTCACACACACAAACAATTCTTCGTGTGATCCAAAAAGTGTTGTTTCTTATTTGGGTATATTATGTGTTTGTAAACACACCGCTATGTTATACAAGAATACCTCATTTATGTCAATTTTATGATAATGTGATAACTACCAAACACAAAACTGGATCATCAGCTGAATAAAACCGAAAAATCTCAACTGGCAACATTTGAATTTGAATAAATAAAAAAATGTTGAAGTCTGTAGTCTATAGTCTGTAGGTATTTATTTTTTACCCCTACTACCTACCTAAAATTCGAAATAGATGAAAGTGGATAATGGTCAAAGTAGTTTGATTTGTTTAGAATTTAGAATATTTAAGTAGAATAACTTTATAAATGGACTGAGTTACATAAACACTTGTTCCTACGTACCTTTATTTCGCCATTTCGGAATATTTAATAATCGAATCTACAATTTGGAACGAGCTTCACTGACGAACAGACTTACAGACGATTATTCTATTTTGACGTTTCAAAAGTACGTACTCATGGTTTATACACACATTATTTTTATATTAATTTGTTGTTTGTATTGTTTACAGGGCAGGCGTGTAGTTGGTGTAGGTATGGGCGGAGATGGCATGGCGTAGTGGCGAGATGGTTGCGCCGCGGGTGGCGCCGCTGGCCGCGCTATTCGCCGCGCTGTTGGTGACGGCCACCTCGCGCGCCTCCACGCAAGACCCGGCGCAGTTTGAGGCCGCCTTCCAAGGTGAGTTTTTATAACAGTTTCTATTTTAACGTTCTACTCCTTTCTGTTAAAACTAATGATAGAATGTTATGATATAATATAAAGTCCAAAAATAATACTTTCGGACTAAAATACCAGAGGCTAAAAAAAACTGTTTTTTTTTTATGTGAATGGTCTTGGAAATCAGCAATCGAATTAGCTGATGGAAAAGAAATCAGCGCCGCTCATGGACCCCTGCATGCAATGCAAATGTAGGAGTTACGACTGTGCTGCCGACTTTATGGGGATAACATATTTTGGAATAGGGGGAGAAGAAGAATTGGGCCTCCGATAACCTCACTCACACGACGAACACAACACTGTAGTTGTTTCACACCCGTTTTCTGTGAGGCTGTGGTATACTCCGGTCGAGCCGACCCGTTCGTGCCAAAGCATGGCTCTCCCATACTAGATTTTTGAAGTGTGGGCAATACCTAAATTGTATTCGTAGATTACACTATTGTTGCAGGGTACACTGTATTTAGTATAGACACGTAGGTAAACATTCAGTTCAACGAAACCACGGTTCATTAACGGTACCATACAGTTCTGTTTGTACAAACTAAATGTATGTACCTAAGTAAATACTAACATCATTAAGAATTCATTGCAGACCTAATTATTATAGAATGTCTGTTATGAAATTAACACGACGAGCAGGTCGTAACTATAACGAAGGAAAGCTGTTAGCAGTTGTTTATTAAGCAACGACTGTTATTTAGTGAACATTGCCAGGAATAATTTTAAGGCAGCAGCGTTGAACAAAACAGTGACCTTATCCTAGGAATTTTAATTAAAAACGATCAATGCTCAAGGTAGGTACTTAACAAATCGCTAGGGAGGGGTCACGCCATCTCCCGGACAAAATAAACATTCCTCAGCAGCTATCCATTATTTTCTTCAGCTAAAGAAATCTCGGAGTAAAAATCCGTAAAGATGCAGTTTCGCAGACAACTCTTTGAATGGCCAAGCAAACGGCGGTAGCTCTCGAGCAAGCGAGGAGCTCTTTTAAACCGACCCTCTTCCTGCTTTGTACAACTCAAGATTAATTGTTCTTTAGAAAAAAGGAAGTATCCACTCAAACCTAAGGATATTCTCAAGAAATAACAATACAGATTGGTTCCAATTATTCTCAGACTATAACGATTTGTTTAATATCTCAATCAAGATGCCAAGGTTATTGCAGCACAAATGGCAGAGACATTAGCGCCAGAGTTCTTTTTTATGTAATGGGTGATTCTTCACATCAATTAAAAAAAATTTAATAATGTCATTATCCTCAACCGAAAATTAACGAGTCTGCTGATTAAAACACAGATAATTATTTTATTAAATTAAATCTCACCACTGCTTACAAGCAACCGATTAAAAATATTGTATAAAATAAATTACTAAGGTGCTTAAAAACCTGGGAGGATAATGACTTGTTAAATAAAAGTTAAGGTTTTTTGGAGAATCACCCTAATAGGTCGGCAAACGAGCAGACGGATTACCTGATGGTAAGGAATCAGCGCTGCCCATGGACACACGCAAAGGAGGAGTTACGAGTGCGTTGCCGACCTTTTAGGGATTAGGCATTTGGAGATTTAGGGATTGAGGAGGGATTGGGGGAGGGGAAGGATTGGGCCTCCGGTAACCTGACTCACACGGCGAAACACAACGCTGTGGTTGTTTCACGCCGGTTTTCTGTGAGGCCGTGGTATCACTTCGGTTGAGCCGACCCATTCGTGCCGAAGCATGTCTCTCCCACGGGTAAGTTTGGAATGAGGTTGTACCAATGTAAAGTGTGTTTATGATTTTAAGTGTGGAGTTGGCTATCGCTAATCCTCGTTCACGATTCGCTGCCTGTTCAGGCGGCAGATAATCCACATTTAATTATGTTGGGCCCGTCGCGTCGCGCGGTTTTAGCAAAGTATGAAAACAAACACCGAACATTTTTAATCAGCTGCAAGTAACAGACTCGTTTCAATTAGTCATTTTCTGCGTTGTTTTTCATCACCCTTTAAGTGTGGGAGAGCCATGCTTCGGCACGAATGGGTCGGCTCGACCGGAGTGATACCACGGCCTCACAGAAGACCGGCGTGAAACAACCACAGCGTTGTGTTTTGCCGTGTGAGTGAGGTTACCGGAGGCCCAACCCTTCCCCGCCCCCGATCCCTCCTCAATCCCTAAATCTCCAAATCCCTAATCCCTGAAAGGTCGGCAACGCACTCGTAACTCCTCCGTTGCGGGTGTTCATGGGCGGCGCTGATTGCTTACTATCAGGTAATCCGTCTGCTCGTTTGCCGAACAATTACATAAAAAAAACCCACTGGAGCAGATACTGAATTGAATTTCCTTTATTGATCCAGAAAGTGTTTGTGTCAAGACTTGATACAATTTTAATGAAACTTACTTTCCAGCGCCATTGTTCAAGATGAAAAGTTTCGAAACTTATTGTTATTTGATTTATTTCAGTTGGTGCTTATAAGTGGTTGGATACGATTTATTATTTGTTCTAGCCAATGATGTTTATTGTTTTAGAAATTCTTGTTCAATAATATTATCACTGCTCTTTCTGCTCGATTAATTGTAAGGATTAATTTTCATCAGAATTAATTTTCGATTCAATTTTGCCAAGTTTTGCCAATCCACACAGCGCTTCGTGGTGCAAAAAGGTGCAATCTTTCCCGTCCCTCAGTCCCTAATCCCCAAAAGGTTTTCAACACACTCGTATCTCCTCTGTTGTTGCGGTTGTCCATGGACGGCGCTGATTGCTTACCATCAAGTAATCCGTCTGCTCGTTTGACGACCTATGACATGAGTGAAGTTACCGGAGCCGCAATCTTTTCCTCTCCCAATCCCTAATCCCCAAAAGGTTTTCAACACACTCGTGTCTACTCTGATGTTGCGGGTGTCCATGGGCGGCGCTGATTGCTTACCATCAAATAATCCGTCTGCTCGTTTGACGACCTATGACATGAGTGAAGTTACCGGAGGCGCAATCTTTTTCCTCTCCCAATCCCTAATCCCCAAAAGGTTTTCAACACACTCGTATCTCCTCTGTTGTAGCGGGTGTCCATGGACGGCGCTGATTGCTTACCATCAAGTAATCCGTCTGCTCGTTTGTCGACCTATCTCATAAAAAATCCAAGAAACACAATCATGATATTTCAGATACTTACATAATATTTCACCCTAAACAACAGATCCATTCACATGTAGTTAAAAACAAAGGAATAAAATCCGATCAATCATAATGAAAGCAGTTTACTGTTTCTATTGCGAATAACGAGTCGTTTTGCAACGAGAGAGGAAATAAAGTGGTCAGGGAACGTTCCTACGACCAATAAAACTAAGATACGGTGGGCGGTCGGCAAACATTTATGACGAATAGAACGTTCTGACGTTCCCTATTTTCTCATACTTTTTGGTCGGTTATGAACCTCTGTGCTGAAACTGATCGCTTTATCGATGACCTGATTGAAGATTATCTGTGGCGTGAGCTTGTGACTGGTTATGAGCTGTCGAGTCGAGTTGTTTTGGATCGTTTTCACAGATCGTTTTGGATCGAATTTCTATTGTTTTTACAGATCACATTGAATATACTGAAATTTGTTTTGTTGGTCTTAATGTGACAAATGTTCAAGATGGTACACTTTTTTACTGTCTGAAAAGTTATAAGTAGGACTTGTAGTAAAGGGATTTTATTTTGTGATGGAAAAATCATCAAATGTCCTCTCTCGGTCGGGTGAGGGGAGAGAGAATTTCAGACTCTGACTGAATAAAAAACCCCTGTTCCTTCTCCTGCTTTAGGCCGAGGCCGCGGTGCTGCATTGCGCTTGCCCTACAAAGCCGGCTGAACATCAGCCTAAAGGGCCCCATCTGTAGTGGTGTATTGGCTCTTTGTGGCGCGCGCGTAACGTTACTGGTTCTGGTCGGGTGGCGAGTCTGGTTCTGGTCGGGTGGCGGAGAATGTTAAGGGTTGGGAGTGCGACTTCTGACGAAATTCACATATTAGTATAAAGTAGACGTCTGTGGTTATTTACTTTATCACAAAAATCATAAAAAAAATGTTTCACCAAAGAAACTGATACACATTACCAAAGTTGGTTTAGAACTCAAAGCACAAAAGAACGAACAAAAACGAATGCAAGAAATGATAATACCAATCCGCGATTTGAACTTAAACTTAGCTTCAATTTTACAAATACAATGGAGCTCGTTACACGTTTATTTTGAGCAAATAAATTAGAGATCCAGCATTGTGTATGGAGATCGCCCGAATGTTTCATTCGTAGCCGAAAATACGAAATTCGTGATAAAACATTTCACGAGTCGGCCAACAATCTGAACAATGGACGAAATGTATGGAAACTGTGCGACCTCATTTGGCTACATTCTATTGTTGCTAACAATAAAGCTATTATCTTGCCAAATTGAATGAATAATTAAATCCGTCGTGATTCGCGTGTATAGACTTGCTATGCAAACTGGATAGATTAACAGTTTAAACAGATTTTCTAGATATGAGTTTGCTGATTACATTACTGACTATGAACCAAGTTGTCGACTGCGATAATATTCGGCAAACATTGGCACAAACGTTGGGTGTGTTACCAAAGTTGGCTGATGCTCCAATTAAGTCAGACCATCTCGCGTCTTAAGCCAAGATAAATAAACTTGACTTTGCATACGCTTTGCCTAACTTAGATATGTAGTCACTGAGAAGGATAGTTTCATGTTGACTTCAATAAAGTAAAGATGAGTTTTAATACGATAAGAGTGCCTTGTAGTGAGAACAAATAGATAGAGATAGAAATAAATACGTACGAAAGCATTTTAAATTTATTGACTATTAATGTTTAAGTCAGTAAATTAATTAAAACATATTGACTGCCAACCGATAACAAGATGTTGAGGGCAAATCATCCTCCACTAGCATGGCCCCATGGCGTTCATGTGTGCATCATCGCATGTTGTCATGTGTGCATCATAATTAA